ACTCAAGCAATCATCTAGGCAGTGGTACTTAAGGTTCCACAAAGCTATAAGCTCCTATGACTTTGAAATGATCGAGGAAGATCACTGCATTTATATCAAGCGGTTTGGAGACAACTTTGTCATTCTATCCCTCTATGTCGACGACATACTACTAGCTGGTACCAATCTGAAACTAATAAAGATGATCAAAGAGTGGTTATCCTTGAACTTCGAGATGAAAGACATGGGCGAAGCAGAATATATCTTACGTGTTAAGATAAGAAGAGATCGTTCTAGAAAATTGCTATCATTGTCACAAAAGGCATACATAGCAAAGATTCTTGAGCGTTTTAATATGAGAGACTGCAAGCCTATGGATACCCCTGTGGTTAAGGGACATAACCTAAGTGAGGAAATGCGCCCTACAAAACAATGCGATATAGAGCACATGAAGAGAGTCCCATACTCAAGTGCCGTTGGCAGCCTAATGTACGCCATGTTGTGTACCAGGCCAGACATATGCTTCGCAGTCGGACTTGTGAGTCGATTCCAATCCAATCCAGGAGTCAAACACTGGAAGCTGTAAAGAGGATTATGAGATATCTAAAAGGAACCATGGACTATGAGCTATGCTATCAAGGAAATGGCCTTCGTGCGGAGGGTTATTCCGATGCTGATTGGGCAGGAGACCTGGACGAGCGACACTCGACGTCAGGCTATGCTTTCCTACTGAATAACGGAGCAATCTCCTGGAGCAGCAAGAAACAAACGTGTGTGTCTCTTTCATCCATGGAAGCAGAATATGTAGCTTGTTTTGCAGCTGTCCAAGAAGCTGTGTGGCTAAAAGATTCTTAGTACGATTGGGAATCCATGGTGGGAGTGAGGGACCAACTCTGATTCACTGCGATAGTCAAGCAGCAATAGCCTATGCAAAGGACCCTAAGTACCACAATCGTACTAAGCATATAGACATAAAATATCACTTTGTAAGGGATATGATCGCTAAGAAACAAGTGACAGTTCAATACTTGTCCACTCATAAGATGTTGGCAGATCCCCTAACCAAGCCTATAGCTAGAGATCCTTTCGTTAAGCATGTAAAGGCCTTGGGCATGCGTAGAGCATGATGTATTGAACTCTTTTTTCTTTTTGATTCTTTTTTTTTGTTCAAATATGCAGGCACAAGGCATGTTGTATGAAACCTTTTCCTCTTACTTAGTAATTCAATGCATTTTATCCAGTTCAAAGAAATTTTTCTTGTATATACATTTGTGTGTTTATACATGCATAGGCACAAGGTATGTAATACAAATATGTCGTACAGGTCACAAGGTTGGCTCACTCACACGAGCAACCGCCTCGCTATGTTCTCATGGGATGTAGAAAGGTTTGACAGCAGATGATCACCATGAGATGGTAGAGAAGAATCACTGCACAAATGTCACCTCAGCTAGACTGAGATGAGACCCATAAAAGTTTGGGTCGAATCATGGAATAATGTGTCATCCATGAGACCTGTAGCCAGACAAGGAACTCTTCACTAGTAAGACGTCATATATAGTTGTGATGAAAGAGCTCCTGGTTCAAATGTGGAGTGCATTTGTGAACTTAAGTCTGTACGGGTTAAAACCAAAAGCTGACATACTCCACTTGGTGGATTGAGCACCGTAGCATGCAATTGCTACTGCAATTCACTCAAATCCGCAACAAGGGACATAGATGGAAGATCCTGATCCATTACGGTGTGAGTCCCAGAAAGGAAATAAACCTTTCATAATGCCCTTAAGACTTAGACAACATCACAAGGTTTTGGTTTAGTGGCAGCTACTCTAGCCTAAACCCCATGGTCAAGAATGATGCGATCTAACGGGTCAAGACTGAGAAAGCGACTATGCCAAATCTAAATGATGAATAGTCAGAAGGAAGATTTATCTTGAAATACACATCTACGTTGGTGTCTGTGACATGTCCCTTGCAGGTTGAACAGAACAACTAAGCAAGTGTGGATACCATACGTATGAGAAGGCAATCTGAGTAAACAAAATAACTCGAGAGGGATTAGATATGCCACAAGTAAAGTGTATGGATAAAACTAGGGCATTCGAGGCAACAAGCATACAATTTGTAGGTACACCAAGGGTGTTCTTGTGTGCTGGTCCTGCATAAAGGATTCCTAGTGCACAGGCGCCCGAATCGATGACGTCATGCCCACGCGGTCACGGCAGACACCTAGTATGAAGCAATGAAAGATTTAGCTATCGCACGATGGGCAGCCCATCAAGTGCGAGTGGGAGATGTTAGATTTTTGGGCTTGGATCCGCCCTTGATGGGCCGGATTATTTGACCGGGTATAAAGAGAATATTAGTCAAATATCCAAGCGATATTGTGATATGTTTGACTTGGTCAAACACCCTGAATCATATCCAATCGGTTACGATATAAATCTAATTAATTTATATTAAATTAATTAATTTATATTTTGTAGATTAAATATATATTAAGTATATATATTTAGAATTAATTGTGATTGATTCTGGATTTAAATTCAAATATCATGATATTATGAGATAAGGATATATTATACCTTATCTCAGATTTTATCTGATGGGCTCAGTGGATATTTTTATGCTACCCAAAATATCCCTGACAAAAGCTATAAATAGAGGCTTCCCCCCATCAGTTCAAACCACTCCAGTAGTAGAGCTTTTCTACTATCTCTCTCTCTCTCTCATTTTCTTTCTTGCAAAAGAGGTGCTCTGCTGTGCACTTAAAAGCTCAAACTTTTATAGTCTAGCTTAAGCGTGAGCTAAAAAGATCCGACCGACCCGACTCGAGATCCGACCCGGTATGTTTTCGATCCATTCTAATATTTTTCTTACAGATCGAATTTTCTAAAATAATTTCAAATGCAATTATCTTGATCCAAACACTGATTCTCATTAAATTTTGATATGCAGCTGCTCTTAGTATTTTAGTGATCAACTTCATTTATTCTTTGTGATAAAGTTCATTTAATGATTTATTATTCCAGTGAGTTACTCAAGATAGTGAGATGCTAGATTAGATGTTACCTTACATATTCTAGGGAGGAGTGATTAATGGATGCAATTTGTACATTAATATATTGAGGCTCAGAAGTGCTCAGTTTTAACTTACAGAAAAGTGGATTGAAAATCACAAGAGCTTTTGGAACTTGAGAAAGCAGCAAAGAGTGTGGGAAGGGACTTCAGCAAGTTCAAGAGAACAAATAACTATCGTGGGCCATAGCTTTCCCTGCTGGAGAGAATGGAGAAAGAAGTAGGGGAAGGTTGAGAGATTGTACACGGATAAGATTGTTTTTGCATTCTCTTATTTGTTCCTCCCTACTTACATTAGTAATATTTTTTTCCTTTACACGATTCCCCACTTTTATTCTGCTTAGGTTTTAAATTGTTTAACTTTCGTATCATAAAATTCACTCCCACTTTTTTGGTAAAGTCTACTACTAACAAACCTTACGTTTTTCATCCACCACTTTAGCGTTCTTAATTGTCACCTCAATTATAGTATCGAATTCATAAGATGGTATATACTTTATCCTGACGATCTTCAGTGTTAATGCTTAGCATGCAAAAGGATGCTCAAGTTGAAGGAGGAAAAAAGGAAACGGAAGGAAGAAGGATTGGGAAGAAACGCATAGAAGGACAAGAAGGACAAGAGGAGTTCTTTTCATCAGGGGATGATGAGGTGAGGAGGGAATGTTATATGACTACAACACAAGCAAATTTGGTCAAACAAGTATAGCATTAACATTCAAAATTAGTGAGTGTTAAATTGGGGGGCGATATTGCTACGGTTTGAAACTTTTAAAGGCAACATTAAACTCAAAAGACCTTCTAAGTACTTAGCGTTTTTGAGTGAAAATTTATGAGACAAAGTTACATCTTAATCTTTTTACAAAAGAATAAAAAATGCTTGAAATTATATATCACTCCTGGAATCCTAAATGTAAACCTAGTTATAAAGTTGATTTTTTAGTCAATTTTATTTTTTGTATTTACCATTTGTTTTTCATGTTTATTTATCTAACTTGTAAACTAATATTTAATATTTAATCTAATGTTATATATGAGTATTTTATAAAAATCATATCATATTGATCAAATTAAGTAATTTATTTAGTTTTTCATTTTGTAAGTAACCATTTTATTAACTACCGATGAATCTAGGAAAAGTCCCAAAAAAAGCCCTTGGAATATAAAATTTTTTTGATTGGGTCTTGAAATTGTATAAATGACAGAAATGGTCAATGAACTGATCTGACATTTTTAAAATCAAGAGAAATTAACAACTTTGCCCTGACTAAATAAAAGTGAGTAGTTATTCTTTAAACGAATTTAGGTAACGCTTACACTGTTTTAGTGATTATATAATTAGTTGTAGTTAATAACAAGGCACCTTCTCATGGGGCATTCCTAACTACGAAAAAATAAGTAGTTATTTTCTACACAAATCTCGGTAACGCCTAAACCTTTATAGTGATTCCTTAAGTTATTATAGTAAATGAATACAAATGAGAGCAAAAGTGAGTAGTTATTCTCTAAACAAATCTAGGTAACGCTTACACCGTTCTAGTGATTACATGATTAGTTGTAGTTAATAACAAGGCACCTTCTCATGGGGCATTTCTGATTACGAAAAAATGAGTAGTTATTTTTTACACGAATCTAGGTAATGCCTAAATCCTTATAGTGATTCCTTAAATTATTGTAGTGAATAAATACAAATGAGGGTAAAGTTGTCAATTTCTCTTGATTTTACAAATGACAGACTAAGTCATTAATCCTTTCTATCATTTACACAATTCCAGATCCAATCAGGGATTCGTTATATTCCAAGGGTTTTTTTTTTTTTTTTGATTTTCCCATGAATCTATGAGATTAGAATGATTATGATGTCAAAATTTCATTCATGTTGGTCATGGTTGAGTTTAATTTTACGAGTTATAACAATCTTGTAGAGGCCACCGCGTTCTGCCCCTGGTAGTGTGCGCGATTTGAAGCCGGATCAGAGCCATTCCCCTCAACAGTCCCCACTTCTCACATTCCAACTCCATTGAATCCCGCATGGCTCCACTGTCCGGTCCTGCCAACCAGTAAGTCCGAATACACGGTTTAGATGGATCAGATAATTTTACATATAATTTCTTTGATAAGCTTATTTCTTTAATAATTGTTCTTCTTTTGAATTTTCTGTGATTGCGTTAATTTCGCGTCTGAAGAGAAGATGCTGTAAGGAGGCAAAACAAGAGAGCCCCTTTCAAATTTCTGGTTCCTCTCATATACGCCCCAGTTCTTCCTCTAAGTGAGTTTTTAGCACTCCCCTTCTCCTCCACCAATTTCTTTCTATTGTTTAGGTTTCCAATCTGGGTTTTGCATTGTTCAAACTTTAAATTCAATTTTCGCTCTTCGCTCTTGTTTGTTTTCCAGTTCGTCTTTCGCTCCGGCATAGACCCGTTGTAAGAGATCGTTTGTTTACTGCTGTGCTGGCAGGGGCGTTTGCTCATGGCTTCTATCTGGTGTATCCTTTTTGGACTTGGGCACTATTGTTATCTTTATATAGTTGGTTAATCGGGGACTGGAAATATATGTGTATTATATTCTAGGTGCATATAATTTATACGTTTTGAGAAGTTTATTGGTTAAAGATCTGGATCATAATCATCCGATAAGTAGTGTTATTCTTCCTTACCTTCTAAGCCCCTTACTTCCCCCACATTTTTGGGTTGACTTTAGTTTTGAAAGTTGGTCTAACATCTATTGCTCGTTACAAGCTCGAATTACTTGGCACAAATTGGAATGGAAGGGCATTAGTAATTTACTATTGAGGAACGAGGTTGAGGAGACTAGGGAGTTGATTGAGTTCCATGTAGGCCTGCAAGTTAGGTTAATGAGATCTGATCATGGTATTTGTATGGATAATCGTCAGATTATGCCGTATTTTCAGAGCATATCCTGTTTGATAGTTGAAGCCTCATCATGTAACTTCTTATATTGCTAATTTGCCATAGAGTTCTGCACTTAGAAATTTTACTCTTACGGTGTTTGGCATTTTTAATGAATTTTTAATTATTGTCTAGGTTGCTTGAGGCTGCTTCATTGGTGCTAAGAAAACATGTTTCAAAGCTTTTATTCGATCATATAATGTGATAGACTAGATATCATGTTGGGTATATCTGACATGTGATGGTTACTAATTGCAAAGGATTTTGATGACCTAGACTTTTCATAAATTAATGCTCATTTGACCTGACTTGAAGCATAAAGTCTTCCCTGTTGTGTATGCTGAAATTTGGGCAAGTTTGATGAGTCGTGGTGATTGATGACCAGGTACAATTGGTTTCAAAATTTTGTCTAATTATACAGACTAATCTTCATTTGACTTGACTTGGAGCAAAGTGAGGGTGCTATGAATTTTGGGTAATTTCTGTTAGAAGACAATTTCCTTCATGCTACCCATGGAAACTCATTGGCTCTTGCTGTATAAGGAAAGGTTGTTTTTGTGAATGTTTATGCATATTGTTCAAGATATTGTTAAGATCTATGGATGAAGTTATTATTTGAAGTCATTTTGAACCACATGATGAAGAAGCTTGTAATTCCAGGATCATTCCATTGAAAAGGTACTTCAACAGTATAAATCAATTCATAGGAAGAAGTAGCAACAAATTTCACCGGATTTGAAAATTGAGGCCTAAATGTAAGGAGGAAAATCATACTAATGATGAAAAATAAACCAAAAGATAATATTCCACATAATTAGCGTTATAAACAGAAATATCATGAATGAGCCTTAGATGTGTTGTGTGACTTGCTAACCAACATAAGATGTTGCTTAGAGTAAATTTCTGGGGGAGACTTGAGTAGCACGAGATGCTTAAGTTCCACATTGAATAGTCTGAACTATGACATGCTTTATTGTTTATTTAAGGTGGCTGTTTTTCCAATCTTAGTAGCTAGTTTTTTGAGGAGAGTCCCCATTCCACTTGAGCACCAATACCCAAGTCCCATATTGAGTCGTATGAGTTGTTTTATAAGAAAGTGGGTAGGTTCTCCCACCTCACTAACTGAACCCACACACGTGAATACCCATCAATTACAGTCACTTTTCGTGAAGGTTTTGAAGCAAACACTAACATGCCCTGTAGTTTCAATTGATATAGAATATTCTTTTTATTAAAAAGTTTGTTATTGAAGCTGATGGACACGTAGCTTTTGGGCTTGGATTATTGAAGGGTTATGAGAACAGAATAAAGACAATAGAGTGGGAAAAGGACTGGCCAGTGGGAAGAGAAAGGGAGTTGGGTGCTGTAAGTGTCACTTGGGCTGTGAGGGTGAGCTGGACGAGAGTGTGTGGGTGGGGTGGAGAGGTTTATTAAGGGGTTGAGGGACCGAGAGGAAGGATAAGCAGGGAGTGAGTATTGTGAAGGAGAGACTCTAGCCTCTAAAATGCTAGGGAACTAGTGAGGGTGTTTATGTGTTTTTTTAATCGTTTTTCTCTTCTTTTACTTTTCGTGTTAGAGTTGCACAGTTACACTCTGTAAGATTGTTGCTGGTTTTACTATCAAGTTGAGATTTGTTTCCATCAGAAGCTTGCTCCCTATGCATTTGTCCTTTTTAAATCTCATCATAATATAATTCAGTGCTGCAAAAATCATCAATAGTCCAAGTTAATGCTTTTGAAACTTGAAATAAGGGAGGTTAACTTGTGGGGAAAGCAGGGTGTTTGTAATCGTAGGTTTTATAAATTTTATTTGAAGTTCTGGTATAAATTCAAACCTAAGGGGGTATGAGAGTAAATGTATCTTACTCTTTTAGTTCATGGAAACTGCAAAGAAAACAGCTAGAAGGGCATATTCCACCAGAGAGATGAGATACTAGATGTATCACTTGGACTTCCATATATACAACGTATTATAATCACTTTGCGATAAAAATTAATTGAAATCTAGGTTCAGTTTGTGCATGGAAGGCTTCAGTTGTGGAGCTTCGAAGCAGACATTATAGTAGTGGAAAGGTCAAGCATAAGCAAAGAGAGGCATAAGCTGCTAGTTCTTCATGGCATATGGATATTATTATTCAATTTTAGTATACTACTGTCGATGTTAAAAGGTCAATGTGCTGCGAAATGACCAACGGGGGTTGGGTCTAACAAAAAGGGCTAGGCCCTTCACAATGTGGCGAACCAATATTCAAATCCTACTAGAAAGATATCCATATTTAGTGCCCAATAGTTCTCGTATAGAATTACCTCTAATAGGAGGGTACTTATGCTTAGCCTCAAAAAAAAAAAAAAGTCATTATGTTGTAAATTATCTATTTGCAATATATATGAGCAGAACATTTTCTCTCCATTTAAATGATAGGGCCCAGAAATAAAGAAAGAATGTGTTGCCTGTTGCCTTGAATTTCACTCCACCAAGTTTCCTTGATATTTGAATAAAGGGTCTCCAAGTTCTAGTGATTGAACTGCTCCATTGGGAATTCTTGAAGTGTTCTTTATTTGCTACAAGAATATGATGAAACATCCTCTACCATTCTCGAGTTAAGAAAGCAATTTCATCCTAGACAGTAGTTACTGGGCAGAAAGTGGAAATTAGAAATCAGAACTGAAGGCTTATTTTCAATAAAACCTTGTACTTTATTTCATCAAAGGACTGCAATCAGTACCATGTACCTTCCATCCCATCATAAAAGCCGGTACAGTAACATGAACGAAGCACATTCCCAATTCGCATTACAAGATTATAGATCACTTATTGTTATTGAACACACCACTTCAATCACCATCATTTCAAGATGCTTGTTTACTGCCATCACTAACTTCCCTGTAGGCACTCAAGATCTTATGCTAGCTCTTTGAAATGTTTCTGTAGGATCTGGTACTCCCTCTTGATGTTTGTCCTACCACGGTTCAACCAATCATAATGGGATGATTTACTATAAGTTCTACCACTTCTCTTAACTTCTTTCTAATGTAAAATATCTGGCTTGTTAAACCTCTCATCGTCAGTTCTGCATGTCAGGAAATAGTTCTCTGTGGCTAGGAAAAATAGTTTGGCAGATCTGAATTCTTCCAAGTGATGAAGACCTACAACAGATTGATTCCTCCATGTAATGTGAAACTCAAGTGCACGCAAACACTCACAAAACACGTACCAAACTTTTCCTGTCTTTTCTACCCATATGGGGGATCTAGTAGTCTTCATGAGAGAAAATGGTAATATCCTATGACCTTTTGTCATTTCAAGAGTAGTAAAAATGAAATCAAATGAATGGGGCAAACTGACGCTGGTGTGGTAGCCATTCCAGCCACGGCACAAGGCCGTATTTCCAGTCAATAAGCTCTACAGCAGAATTTCCGAACACCAACCAAAAACAGCTTCATTCATTGAACTTTGTGCATTATTGCTATGCATTTGCTTTATTTTGTGGACTACCTTTATTGTAAGAAAACCAAGAATGGGAGAGCCATGCTTTTGTTGCTTCTAGTGGACCTAAGTTGGTGAAATCATATGACCTTTCAACTTAGTTACTTCCAATAGAGTTAACAATGGTGCACATCACTTGTATTCTCTCATCTTTTTGCATTAGTAATTTAATTATGTTAGTTGCCCAGCCTGATTAGATACTGAGAACTCTTCATACAACATGGACCCTATTGCAAGCTCTGAATTTTCTACGGAAAGCAATTATCACATTCAATGAGCCTTGCTAGGTGTGTATCCATTTTACTTGTCTTTTCAGTTGTCTGTTCAATGAGCCTCGCTGGGAGACAAATCTGAGTGCTTTTCTTTGGTTGGCAATCTGTATAACTGATGAATATGGATTATTCAGGATCAACTTCTAACAGAGCCCAATTTGGCAAGTGTTTATCCATTCTGCTAGCCTTTTCAGGTCCCAATTTTGTGACTTATACTCCACTTGATTCCCTCGACCCTTTTCAAGACGTATTTGCTTCCCCCTCTGCCCTTACCATTTTCATCCTCTTCTGCTAACTATTATTATAGACCCTTGCTCCCCTGTAGATCTCTTTCTCATGATATTTCTCTCCATCCTTGTGTGTCCTTGTGCGTTAAGGAGTTAATTTCATTCTACTCTTCAGAGGCTCAGCGCCATCAATGATGGTTGGCTCTGAGGCAAGTTCTAACATCATAAATCATTACACCTTCCCCTCTATTCTGTCATCTGTCCTTATTCTTTCTATTGTACATCCCGTTAGGCCACGATTTGATGGAGGTGGATCTATCGAAGTGTAATAGTGTAATACTATCTCCGGTCCTTAATATAAGAACTCGTTTGACTTTATTTTGGTTCTAATATAAAAACTTAATTCACTTCATCTTTTATGTTTATCTATTTTTTTACTAAGATAATTTTTATAATAGTAGTAGTTTTAGCTAATACACTTGATTAGTAAGGATATTTTAGGAAAGTTAATATCTATTTGTTACAAATAACTAACTAAGTTAATTTTTTTAATATACTCAAATTAGTCAAATAGTTCTTATATTAAGGACTGTAAGTAGTATTATAATTGTTCCCTTAGAAAGATATAGGTGTTGAACATATCCAGCATGCCAAGCTGCTTTATGTGGAATGTCTTGTTTTACTTAATTCAATAGATCTCTATATTTGATATCTGTTTTCGTATTTCTCCCCTTAATGATTATATCCAGAACTGATCTCTACGACATTGAGAGCAAGTGATTATGTGGATCGGCATTATCCGCATAACTTCAATATTGCTATATTGCTGCTAATCATCCAGGTAGCTCCTTAAACAGCATAGGTCAAATTTGGTTTTGTATTGTTTTTCAAATTGTTATGGAAAGTGTTGTGCTTTGTATTTCTTTGAGAATTGCATCTTTTCCGCGGCATAAATTTTCATTGGTTTGGGGAGATGTGATCCTGTCAAACTGAAGTTTGAGGGAGGAGCCTTAAATGTAATTTTTAAAGGTTATCATAAATCTACCTATATGTCATGGAAAATCTCAGAAATTGTAAACAAGCTCATTTTGAACTTCATGCAAATCGGAGGTTTTGCAATTTAGTTATTCATTTCAAACTCAACGAACGAATATTTTGTTTATAGTTTACCATATTATGGTTTTTTTCCCCATATCAATGTTCAGTGTAGTATAGTTGAACATTTCATAAATGTTCTCTTATGAACGACGTCTTTTATTGAAAAATCTAGTAACGGCCATTTGAAAAATTTTACTCATTTTGTGATGAAGAGTGCCCCAATCAATGAAAAATTAATATACAAGTCTCTATAATTTCATCTCATTTTCAATTAAGTCTTTGTAGTCTTTTTTTCTTTTGTTGAGTCTTTATATTTTTCTTTTTTCTTTTTTGAATTGTTATAGTTTTTCTTTATTAATCATAAGCATTGATTTTATACTCGTAATTTGTTAATTTGTAAGAGAAATGAATTTGAAATAAAATTTGAAATAAATTAACATTAACTAGGTTATGAATTATATATAGATGCAAAGGAATAGTTGAGTAAGAAAAATTTTTGGGCGACCTAGGTTGAGTGAGTCAATTAGACGCTGCTGCCCGGATGAAAAATTGCCACGTTTAAAGATAGGACGTTTGGGGAGTAATGATGTGCAAAAGTAATCCAGATCTTTAGATGTGCTCATGAAGGCACTTAAGTTCTGTTCTAATTATTTTGATGTTGGTAAGCCATAAACAAAGTTTATTCTATCTTTTAATTTTTTTAATTTATTATTATTATTATTATTTATTTTGTGGCAACTTGTATGTTGTTTAGTTAGTATCGACAGTAGTCATAATTAATAGATTATGAGCATAAGCTCCAATGCCTATCAATGAGAAAAATGTGAGGATCTAATAAAATAAAACTATAAGATCTTAAAAATTAGGGAAAATAGCTAAATCACAAATCAGGAACCATTACAAGACTTGTATGGATTTTGACAACAATTGAATGGCAAATAACAACAAACTTTTTGTAAAATACTTGAGTTGCAATTTCACAGTTTGTATAATGTTTTTTATTTTTGCTGTTTTTCCTAAATATTAAGTGAATGATAGAAGAATTGAGATCAAACACTGTCCTTGCTACTTTTACTAAAAGATGGAGCACAATCTTTGAGGTCTTAATTGTAGGTAGAGGTGTATAGGTCATGATGATAATAAGAATGGTAGTTAAATAATAAAGTGGCATGAAAGTTCCCAGTAAGTGAGGTGTCTTGAGTTCCATGCCGCTTATGATTTCAAAGTCATTAGTATAAGTCCATTTAATTCACAAAAAAAAAAAAACAAATAAAATGTCCTACTTGCACATGTAAATATAATAGCGGGTAACTATTATTCGCTTCTCATGCCTATTCTGAGTACATAATGGAATTTCAGGCTCTGTCGCCCTCGTCCTTCTATTCTATCTCTTTTCTCCTTTTCATCTTTCTTTCTACGCTACACCAATCAGGATCTTTACATCTTTTACGCAAAGCTTGAGCATAACCTTTGGGAACACCACGTTCTTGAAAAGATGTAAATTATTCTTGAATTGAGGGATTTGTTTAGATAGTTAGTACACCAACAGTAGGTCATTTTTTTTTTGACCAGCGCAACAGTAGGTCATTAAACAAGGAGGCAATGACCGAGCAAATGAGAAAATAAAATGGTTTCATCGAGATGTAGATTTTTTTTTTGGGGTATTTTTTCTCCCATTACTTACTTTTATACTACCTTCAATCCTTATACTCTTCTGGGTCTAAATGTGAGACTTAATTAATTAATTTGAGAAGATTAAAGATATTAGTTAAATTGGTAACTAAGATTTTTTTTCCTCGAAAATACCATAAGTATCTTCATTAATTTTTTTCCTCTCTCTCCTATTTGATTATTGTAAGAAAATGTCAATAGGTTAATTTGGAAAAAATTGATAACCATATGAAATAGGTTTTACATATAGGAGCACTATTAACTCTCCAAGTAGATTCTATATTAACGACCAGAGGAGTATAAGAATTAGATAATTAATTTGCAAATAATAAAAAAATTAGCTAAGTTAGTTATTTATAATAAATGAGTATTGTCTTTAATAAAATATTCTTATTAATCCTGTGCATTAGAATGGAAGCCTTTTAACATGTGTCATCATTATGGGAATTACTTTAGGAAAAAAATGAATAAATATAAGAAATAAAGTGAATTGAGATCTTATATTGAAACTAGTTTTTATATTTAAAACTAGAAGTAGTATATAAAATGTACTTTGCTTTGTCATAAAAATAAGAAAGGTATGATATTGGGAAAATCACAAAAAAAAATCTTGGAAATAGAAAAATTGCAAATAGGGGCCTATTACAACATTAGTATTGGTTTTGACAATAATTAATAAGCAAATGACAATAATTTTTGTAAATGGATCCCTGTATGCAATTTATAATTTCTAGGGCCTTTTTTGTGATTTTCCTTATGATAAAGTTTTAAATATTGTTAGAAAGTTGCTTAATTAGTAAACCAAGATCAAGGTAAAATGATATTTAGGTAAAAATAGTGCTTCCAATAAAGCTTACTCCTTCGATTTTTAATATAAGATCTAGTGAAGAAGTTGATGTTAGACCTATTTTACATGTTTATCAATTTTTTTTCAAATTAATCATACTAAAATTCCTCCAACAATAACAAAGTAGGAGAGGGGGAATTAAAGAAGATGTTTAAGATATTTTAGGAAAAAAGCATATCATATAAACTAATCTGACTAACATCCTTAATCTACTTAAATTAGTTAATTAGGTATTATATCAAGGATGAGAAAAGTATTACATTGAGGGCTATGAAAGAAATTTTATAAGGATGAAACATAGTAGTAAATAAAATAATTTTAAGTAAGAATATAGAAGGGTCAAGCTATATCCAACATTTTGAAATATTTTTTAGTGCATCAACACTCTTAAGTATTTTTTTAAGTGCATCCCCAAAAATATTCTTGGATGCATCCAGCACCCAAAAAAAATTCAAAGTGCTGAACGTATCTGAAAAATACTTTAAAATATTAGACGTATCACAAAATATTTTGGAATACTAGATGCACCTGAAAAAATATTGACTGCTGGATGCACTTAAGTCAATATTAGGTATATAAAACTAAAACATGCCTCTACTTTTTTTTTTTCTGGCCAGAAATAAAATTCCTGAAATTCTTGAATCATTTAATGATCATGCTGGATGAGAATATGGCAGTGGACAACTCCTTTTTGTTTATGCTTTTTTTTTGGGCCATTGGGAAGGGGTTTTTTTTTTGAATAATAACTGGATACTATTACCTTAAAAGTAAAACATTACAAGCAAAGTAACAAAGACTAAGCAGGAAAAAAAAAACTTTCCTTATCATCCGCCGCCTATTGGAAAAATAGGAGGAGGGTGATCAAGGATACAAAAGATGATGTCACTATTATGGGCTGATTTAGCCAAGTAATCCGCATCAGAATTATCTTCTCTGTAAACATGTTGAAAGAGGACTTGCTAATCTCTATTCAAAAGAAGTCTTGTGTCTTCAATAATGTCCTTGAAAGGGTGAGAATCATGACAGCCTCTTGAAATTAGGATAATAGCCTCTAAGCAGTTAGAGTAGAGAACTATTTTTCGGAGGCCTTTGTTCCAACATAAAGTAAGGCCATGAAAAACTCCCATAACTTCAGCTATGGTGGGAGGGACATTGATCAATTTACAGCTATACCCGCATATCCACTGGTCATCACCTCTTCTAATGACTCCGCCATATCCGCTTCTGCCATCTTCTAGTACCGAACCATCCACCTCAAGTTTTAATGAGTCACCTTCAGTGTTGGCACCCAGCTCCCCCTGTTGGGGTTTAAAATGATAAAAACCATGGTTGTCTCTAAGATCTTGATCCAAGCAAGCTTTAAAGAAGCTATCATTTGCCTTTCTGTTATCATCTCTGTTTGGGGTATTAAAGACCTTATTGCATTTGTCTACCCAAATATCCCAGCAGATGTACCCAAAGAGTGTTGGCCAAGGGATCTTTTTTGTGTACTCTAACCTTGCTTCATTTGTAAGATTCCATTTTATCCAGTCAACTCCGTGATGTGAGGAGAAAGCATACCACATAGAAGGTTTGATCACTGACTTCCATCTGTCCTGAGCATTTAAATAATCTCGAAGTAAATGCATTGAGTCTTCATCCTGGTTACACTGAAAAGGACAGTTCGCATCGACTGCTAGTCCCTTGTTTCTTCTGAGTTGTGCTGTATGAGCCTTGTCATGACTAAAAAGCCAAATGAAAGTTTTGATTTTTTTTGGTATCTTCCACCTCCATATAAGCTTCCACACGCTATCAGTAAGCTGGTGAGTACCTATAGAAAGAGAATTATATGTAGTTTTAATAGAAAAACAACCGTCAATGACAGGTTTCCAATAGAATTTATCCTGTCCTCTCTCCTTGCTCGGTGGGTGTGCACGGATAATCCGTGTAAGGAATTGAAAGACACGTAGCGGAAAATAACTTTAAAACTTTCCAATCCCTTGCCCGGATCTACCGATTGTGTTTAAGTCAAGTAGTAAGAGGTGTTACCTATAGTATTCGAATCGTTGGTAGCTCGGGGATTCCAACATTCGGAATGCTTATGCTCTCTTTTTGCTTGTGAGAAGTCGACAACTCAGATTGGCTTCCTCTACCGGTATCCACACAAACAGCATTCCAATCATGAACGACGTGCTAGCGCCTCTTGTCCTTCTAGGGCTTTTCTGAGAATCCGTCCTCACCGTTTCTATTTTGGCCGTTTCTTATCTGCAAGCCTTTTGCTCTCCAACATACCTAAAACCCTAGCTCCTAAATATCAAATATATAGGATGCTATCGGTATTATGAAGGATATTGGATTTCAGAATTAATCCTAAATTAATTCTGAAATTAATACAATATCATATATTGTGTAATCTGATAAGAAATCAATTAAATAAATACGGTTTATATTAAATCCGTCCCACAGATTTAATTCACCTATTCATTTAATTCAAAATAAAGATATGACGGAATTATATTTGATTTATTCTAATAAATCAAATTTGAGATATTATATTATACCATATCAATCTAGGACTGATATAGATTTAATTTATC